GAAAAAATATATTTTATGATTTAAAAAATAAATATAGTTGGGATTTTTAAAAACATGAGAAATGTGAACAGTGATGGGTGGGCAGGGGTGGGGAAACTTTGTACAGTGGAGAAAATATTTATAAACTTAATTTTTTTTTAAATGTCACTGCCATTCTTTCGTGCCATGTGTGCGTTGGAGCCGAGTGTCCCGCGGAGTGAACTCCGACCTCTGGCCCTGGACAGTCTCTGGGCGCAGGCATCTCTCCCTCAGGGAAGGGCAGAGGCCCGCAGGAGGGCCAGCGTCAGGGGTGCCTGACTCATGTGGTCATGAAGGGGCCCACGCCGGATTTTGTCTCTGCTGTTGCCATCTGAAATTATAATTTGTGAGAGAGAGGCCCTGTGTTGTAATTTTGCACTAAGTTTTGCAGATTAAATAGCTGGGCTTTGGGCTGTTCCTGGCCAGTCTCTGCCACCATCTGACCTGTGTGTGCCAGTCTAGGCTGCTGTGCCCATCAATACAGTTCTGGCGGCTAGGGGCCCCTTTGGGCTCTGCCATCTGTGTAGGCACAGTGGGTGGAGCTGCCAGGGGAGGGAGCCCCCCAGCCTGCCCTGGCTCCTGCTGCCCGGTCCTCACACAGGCAGGCAGTGAACGCTGCCTGAGGCCTGCCATGTGCCCACCTGGGTGGTATGGGAGGGGACTGCTAGGGATAAGGCTTGGTTCCTGCCTCTGAGGGTCCCTAATCTGTGGAAGGAGACAGAGACATCAGCAAGCAATGGTGCATACTGGGATGGCCACATTCAGAGGGGAGGGAGGGAGCCAGGAAGGACTTGACCCTAACTGGAATGTCTGAGGTGGGTCACAGAAGACCCCTCATGCATAGTGCTGGGAGCACACTCCATTGGAGAGTGAAAGCAGAGATCTGGAAGGCGGCCTCCCAACAGGACCCTGAACGTTGGCCCCCCAGGGCGTAGAGCATAGAGGTGACAGCTGAGTGAGGTAAGTCAACCAGCTGCTGGATGGCCTCCAGCATGGGGGGCCCAGAACACACTGGATCCAGTAGCCCTCGCACTGAGGAGGTGGGAAGATGGTAGCCCTTAGGACTCCAAGACTGCTTGGCCAGGGGACATAGCTGGGGACCTCAAGGCACAAGCCTCCTGGGCCTGGTTCCCGGGACGGGCCTTCGGGAGTCACCTCCCTGGCCCTGGAGTGCTGATGCTCCTGCCGCTGGGACCAAAGCAGATGCTGGGGATGGCGTCAGTACAGAGCAACAGTGAGCATGGGAAGCCGGTGCTGAGCGCCAACCCAGGGTGACGTGGGCCGGTGGGGGGGG